CGTCGATTGGCTTTACTGGAAGATTCATGCTGACGCTGTATCCGAGGCAATCTCCTTCGATTTCGGTGAACACGTGCTGAGCTTTCGTCCGTCATATGACGGACATCATCAGAGCGAGGTAACATCGTCACAAATAGTCAAGAAAACTCACCGGCAAATTCCTAAATAGTGGTATATATACTCTAAAACTGGCCTATTTGATCGATTGCCTCGGAAACAGCGTCAGCATGAATCTTCCAGTAAAGCCAATCGACAGCTGGTCACGAGGAATTCGCCGTCGTCTTCTGGTGGAACCGACCTTCAAATCTCTTCACACAACACTTCTACTCGAAATGGAAATAAGCCCAACAATTATGAAACAAGAGATTCCTCGAAACCCAACTTTTCTTCGTATATATTGAGTGTTTAAGCCGGACTCTGCTTGAGGTTGCTCTTGCCCATAAGCTCGTAAGAACACAGAAAATGGCTTTCCAGAAAGCTTAGACTTGGGCAATAATTGATTCGGGAGTGCAGCATAACGCCCTTTATGCTGGGGCCCATGAAAATGGCTACTTTTAGCAGTAGTAGTGGTAAAGATAGTGATGGCGATAGTAAGTGATAATGACAGTGGTAGTGAAAGTGCTATGATTGTGATATTATTGGTGATAGTGATAGTGCTGATACTGATATGAACATGATTATGATGTTAGTAGTGGCAATAGTAGTAGTAGTTATTATTATGTTTGTAGTAGTAGTTTTTGAAGTAGTAGTGTAAGGGGGACCTTCATTTTGAATGAAAGTGCATGAAGAAGTGATTCGTTGGTCGATCTCACCGGATGAGGACGAATGAAACTCGTTGTACTGCAACCGTTTGGGTTTTATATGATATTCATGTTGACGCAGTCCACGAGACTTTCTTCCTCGTTTCGTGTCATTCATGTAAAAGTCTCACCAAGCTTTAGTGTTAATGTGAGACTTTTACAAGAATGACTTCCATCATATGATGGACGAAAGCTCAGCACGTTTTCACCCGAAACGAGGGAGAAAGTCTCGTGGACTGCGTCAACATGAATATAATATGAAAGCTGAACGGCTGCAGTACAACGAGTTTCATTCGTCCTCATCCGGTGAGATCGACCAACGAATCTCTTCTTCATGCACCTTCATTCAAAATGAAGGTCCCTCTAACAATGTTATCTCAGGAGATCCATCGAAACCAGGTTTCTCTTCGTATCTACGACGTAATAGTGCTTGAAATGAACTTACCTGAAAGAACCTGCGAGTGAAACCGTTGACTTTCCTGCCTCGAGATGCTGGGGGCACAGTCTGCTTTTGCCCATATTCGGCGATTCCTCTCCTCAGCTCGGCCTTTCTGTCGTGCCGTCCGATTGCGTTCGTCTCTGTGCCGAGCGAGGCGTGACTGCGGCGCCGGCTGTCCGGCTCGTCGCGCCGTGCACTTGGCGGACGCCTGCGTCTCAGACCATCGGCGCCGCAGAGGCGGCCGCTCCAACGACTCGCCTCAAGGCCGGCAAGGCTGGCGCACAAGCAGATGGCAAGCGAGCAAACGCTTCGCGGGCTGGCATCGATCGAAGCAGACTAGTACGCCTGCAGGCCGTTCAAACATTCACGCCTCCGGTGCCCTGGCCCTGCTCACTCGGCGCAGCTGGGACATGATCGATACTTTATGAAATTGCCTCTCCGACTTGCTGACAGCCACTTTGCTCGTTTAGGCCGAGACCACGTCATTCGCGGTCTTACCTGAATTGCCTGACCTTGCCAAAGGCGTGTCCTCGTGACCAGCCCGCTGCCATTTAGCGTGTCACTGACTTGACGCAATTGACCTGGGCTCCGTTTAAACAAATTCCGCTAAATTGCCCGTAGATCCTAAAGACGAGGGTCAAGGCAACTTAATCCCATATGAAACCAGGCCTTGCAGGTGTCGCAGTAGACCGCAATAATGCATGTTGTTTCCCATTTTATTTTGCTT